CAATGTCACTAATCATCAGAGAAATGCAAATTAAAACTACCAGATATCATGTCACACCTGTCAGAATGGATATCATCAATAAATCAACAAAAAACAAGTGATGTGAAGAAAAGAAAACCCTCGTGCACTGTTGGTAGGACTGCAGATTGGTACAGCCACTATGGAAAACAATATGAAGGTTCCTCAAAAAAATAAAAAATGACCCAGCAATTCCATTTCTGGGTATATTTGCAAAGAGACCCTAAACACTAATTTGAAAGAATATATGCACCCCTATGTTCACTGCAGGATTATTACAATAGCCGAGATATGGAACCATCACAAGTGCTCATCAGTAGACCAGTGGATAAAAATGTGGTGGTACATATATGCAATGGAATATTACTTGACCATAAAAATAAAATGAAATTTTACCATTTGCAATAGCATGATAAACTTAGTGGGTATTATGCTAAGTGAGTAAAGTCAGACAGAGAAAGGCAAGTACCATATGATTTCAATTATATGTAGAATCTAAAAAACAAATTAAATGAACAAACAAAATTGAAACAGATTCATGGATACAGAGAACAGACTAATGATTGCCAGAGAGGAGGAGGGTTGGGGCCTGGGTAAAAGAAGGTGAAGGGATCTAGAAGTAAAGAAGTAAATTGGTAGTTACAAAATAGTCACAGGGATGAAAGTATAGCATAGGGAATATAACCAATAATACTGTAATAACTATGTATGGCACCAGGTAGGAACTTAAAATATCAGAGGTATCACTTTATAAAATATATATGGTTGTCTAACCCTATGCTGTACATCTGAAATGAATTAAAAAATAAGACTAAATCTAAACTGTAATTAAAAAACAAAAATTTTTTAAAGTAGTACTAATGAAAAATAGAAAGTCTAGTCTTGAAGTTACTGTACTTTTTGGCCACGCAACAATCTTGTCCCCTTTTTATGGTACTAGCACCCTGATTTTCTCTGTAAGAATGTATTTGGGCTTCAATTTTAATAGAACTGAGAGGGATTTATTTGGGGCAAATGACTTCTTTCAATCAAATGCTCTCTTCCTGGATTTTGTAATTTTTGAATAAAGTTACTTTTGAGTGAAAATTATTGATACCAGTTTACCCCAAATTCATCCATCTTTTCTGCTTCAGAGACCCTTAGAGAAGGTCTGGGGCTCATGCTTTCTGAGCTTGATTCCTCACAGTGTGTCTTATGATTCTGTGAATAAGATTCCCATATTCTTCCACTGAAGTCCCTTCTTTAGTTAACCAAAGTTGGTTTCTGTTGCATACAACCAAAAATGACAACTGATATGTCACTGAAGCTTTACAGTATGTATTCACTTCTGATAATATAAGTCCCCACTCATAAATAATCAAAATGTTTTAATATTCTCATCTGGCTCTTTAGTCTTTCACATGAATTTCAGAATCTGTCTTCCCAAAATAATTCCATTAAAGTTTTCATTCGAACAGCTTTAACCCATAATATAATCTGAGAACAATTTTTGTCTTTACAATGTTAAATGTTCATAAAATGTCTTGCATTTTCTTTTAAGACTATCAGTTAAATTTCATAATTTTTAATGTATTTGTTCTTAATTGTATTACTATTTTTGTCACTGTGGTGAAAAAAACTTTTTTAGTATTTTATTTTCTGATTATTGCTAGTATGTAAGAATCCTATATAATAAAAGCCTAATATGCAAATGTCCCCTTGAGCAGTTGTCTGACCAAGACTGTGAGGGGGCAGGCCGGGCTGCGGGACCCCGGACAGGCAGCAGGTGGAGACAGAGTTCGACCACTCACTATGACATGCACTGACCACCAGGGGACAGCGTGGAATATGGCGGGCATCGAGGACATGGTGCTGGCAGCAGGCAGCAGCAGAAGTGCTGCAGGCCCCAATGGGCCCAAATGAGAGTGGGACCGAGGCAGGATGGTGGAGCAGGTGAGCAGGTGACGCCAGGACAAGGCAGGGTGCCAGGAGGGGCTGTGGGGCTGTGGTGCTGTGAGGCTTGGGGCACAAGCTGGGGCCCAATCTCTGCAGGCCAACCTGAGGGACCCCATCCAAGCATGAATTCATGCACAGGGCCTCTAGTATAAACATAATTATTATCATACTAGAGGCCCAGTGCATGAAAATTCATACACTGGAGGGGGGGGTCCCTGAGCCCAGCCTGTCCCCTCACAGTCCGGGAGCCCTTGGGGCGGGAGGCGACCTGGTGATCAGGGGAAGGCGACGCCCCATCACACCTCTGCTGCTGCCACTGCCGGCAGCACAAGCCTCGGCCAGCCCTGGTTACCTGAGTCTCAGGCGGCCCTGGGTGGCTGGGGGGCTGAGGGGACTGGGCGCTGCCATCTTGTGGCTGTGGGCACCACCATCTTTGAGGGAGTGGCAGTCAATTAGCATATTCCCTCTTTATTGGCTGTAGGCACAGCAATCTTTGAGGGCAAGGCAGTCAATTACAATATTCCCTCCTTATTGGCTGTGGGCACCACCATCTTTGTGATGGAATTAGGGCCAATTAGCATATTCCCTCTTTATTAGATCATACTAGAGGCCCAGTGCATGAAAATTCATACACTGGAGGAGGGGTCCCTCAGCCCAGCCTGCACCCTCTTGCTGTCCAGGAGCCCTTGGAGGATGTCCAACTGACGGCTTAGGCCCGCTCCCCTTAGAGCCTGGCTTCTGGCTGAGCTGCACTCCTCCTGTGGAAGTGCACTGACCACCAGGGGGCAGCTCCTGTGTTGAGCGTCTGCCCCCTGGTGGTCAGTGCGCATCATAGCGACTGGTCGTTTTGCCGTTCGGTTGATGTGTATATTAGCCTTTTATTATATAGGATATTATTTTCTTTCTGGCCTCCTAGCTAAATATTCTTACTAGCATTAATAATTTTAAAGTTGATTTTCTTGACTATTGAAGGTTATAAATATATCTATAATAATAAAAATCAGACCTCCTTCTTTCTAAAAATTGTAATTCTTATTGCTGTTCTTGCCTTTATCTATTTCTTTGGTTAAAATTCCCAAAACAAAATTAAATGACACAGTGAGTTTAATGAGAGTACCTGTAGCATTTTATCAGCAAATACTCTTTATAAAGATTTCTTTTCCTAATAATAGTTATAAGTTATGTTTAGGAAAACTTCTATATTTAGTAAAAACAAATTTTTTACCTTTTTTTGGTTAATTCTCATCCAAGGATATTTTTCTATTGACTTTTAGAAAGAGTGGAAAGGAGGGGGAGAGACACAGAGAGAGAAACATCGATGTCAGAGAGACACATCAATTGGTTGCCTCCTGCACCCTGCATGAGCCTGACCAGGGCCAGAGATGAGCCTACAACCCAGATATGTGCCCTTGACTGGAATCGAACCCAGGATCCTTCAGTCCATTGTCTGACACTCTATCTACTGAGCCAAACCAGCAAGGGCTACCTAGTAAAATATTTCATTTCCCACCAAGCAAAAGGAAATTTTAAAAAGAAGTAGAATTAACAAATAAATTCAATCTCTCTCAAGATTAATTAAAATGTTTATCAGTAGCCCTAACCGGTTTGGCTCAGTGGATAGAGCGTCGGCCTGCGGACTCACGGGTCCCAAGTTCGATTCCGGTCAAGGGCATGTACCTTGGTTGCGGGCACATCCCCAGTAGGGGGTGTGCAGGAGGCAGCTGATCGATGTTTCTCTCTCATTGATGTTTCTAACTCTCTATCCCTCTTCCTTCTTCTCTGTAAAAAAATCTATAAAATATATATTTTTAAAAAATAAATAAAATGTTTATCAGTATTAATCATTCATAAAAATCATACTTTTATTTTTCATTTGTAAACTGATATCCCTTTTTCATCTAGTCTTTTCTGAGAACTACTCCACAAAATCATGTAGCTAGAATTCATGATTCAAACTACAAACTTAGAATTTAATATTATGTATATAAAATCTTTCCCTGTATTGCTTCTTCAAACTCATAATGTAAATAATTACCCTAAAACTTTCCCAATATTTCATGAGAATTAATATTAAAAAGTAGAAACAAAATATAATTTACTCAGATTCAAAAGTTTTCAAAAAAGCCAAATATTCTATAACAATAAATGCTTAAAAAGCAGTTTCCTATTTTATTGTACAGTAAAACTTTCTCTGACCTGAAATTACTGACTGGAAACATATATCCTATATAATAAAAGGCTAATATACAAATAGACCGAACGGCAGAACAACCAACCAACCAAACAACCGGTAGCTATGACATGCACTGACCACCAGGGGGCACACACAGAACATGGTGGGCATCAGCAGCAGGTGGCAAAGCGAGGAACGTGGCAGGCGTCGGCCACGGTGGGATGGTGGAAGAGGTGAGCAGGGGCGCCAGACCAAGCGGGGCGCTGGTCGCTGTCACGAGGGCGAGCTCTGGTAGTTACTTAAAATTCTTTGCTTCCCCATGCCATGGTCCCACTTGGCACTCACACCTGCTGCCGGTGCCGGCCCCGCTCGCACCCACCGCCAGCGCCAGAGATGCCACTTGTGCCCACTGCCAGCGCCAGCCCCGATCACTCAGTGTCATCAGCAGGTGCAAGTGGCAGTTGCCGGCCTCAATCGCCCCTCAGGGCTTCTCCAACTACCCTTGCTCCAGAGGGGCAATCAGGGCCGGCAGCCACCTCTCACACCCACTGCCAACACTGGAGCTGCCACTCACACCCACTGCTGCCGCCGGCCCCTCTCAAACCCCAGCTGGTGCCGAAGCAGCCAGCCTCTCGCACCCACTGCTGGCGCTGTCAGCAGGTGCGAGCAGGGCCAAAGCTGTCAGCACGTGGGAGCAGGGCTGCCGGCAGAGAGGAGACCAGGGGCTGTGGCAGGAAGGGCCGGGCAGGGGCGCAGAGGATGGGCCAGACCCGCCCCTGTGCCCACCACAGCCTCGCGGCCCACAGTTCCTTTCAATGTGCACGAATTCGTGCACTGGGTCCCTAGTATGTTATAAAAGAATGAGAAAGTATACCTCAAATTCTTTTCGAAGACGTTCCTCTCGTTGAGTGCTAAGTTCAAGTTCACTTGTTTGTTGCCGTAAAAGGTCAGAGCAATCCATGTGTTCGGCTTCTAATTTTTCTACTTTCTTGTGCATACTTTGTACAGCACTATCTTGCTCCTAGAAAACATTCATTTTGCATCAACAGAATGTATAAGCCAACAATGACGAAAGTGTATTCTGTGGTAGACAATAAGTAACTAAATCTGTGCTTAGACCAGAACAATAGATTAATCTGCATAGGCCAGAGAGGCCAAGTTATTTTCCAGCAATGTTTCAGGATATACATGTATTGTAGAAGCATTATTGGAGGTTTACAATTTTTAAAATCTGATTAATACATATTACAACTGAAACATGTATAGCTTACTAAAATGCTATGCTAGTTCAAATGGCCTCTGAGGATCTTTACAGAATGCTGTAGTTCAACTGCCATATATAATGTTTTCCCCTCTCATTAAAATTTTAAAGTATTTAGTAATACAGGTGGACTTTGCTCCTTGGGTGATAAGGGATGACTGGCCTGGATGCCTCAGAATAACCCACGAGAGATTTTGATGAGAGCTCATGGTACTTTATGCTTATAGCTTACAGCTCTTAAAGTTGCATCCACTAGATGGCTGTGTTTCATTTTCTCTCCAGCTTTCAACTTTTCAAATCTCTGTTATACTACTGAAAGACAAATAATAACAGGCACTCTTCTACTTAAATACCTCAATCTCCTTTTCCAAATAAATCAGAAATCACCCTGACAAATGTCCCTCTCTATCCTGGAAAAAGAGTTTACTAACTAGATTCAATTTTGATACTTCTCATCATTTACAAGGATAAAATTAGAACAATGTAGTATTTCTAAAACTTTGGGTTTTAATGAGTAGTTAAATTAATTTATTGCATTAATTAAATTAATAAAACAAAGCAAAGATATAACTTTTCTAAAAGCAATTTCAAAAAAGTAACTTGATGCTATTTTCATATTTTACTTAAGGGTCTCAAGTCTGTCAAATTTTTCTTATGTGAAAAATATATCTGAAGATTAAATTATCGGGATAATTTGGACTTCTATTGTTTTAACAACCTTCACTATGTGCCTGAACTGTTAACACCAAAAATAAAAATGATGATCAAAAAAAAAAAGATAATCAAGGGAGGCAGGGAAAAAAAACACCTTCAATACAAGTATGACTTATAGTCATAGAAAGTTAAGATATTACAAACATGAAACAAAAAAAGTCTACTGTAAAAAGATATAGTCAAAGAACAAGAATGAACTCTTGGAAATTAAAAACCCAAAAGCAGAAATAAAAATGCAATACAAAGGTTGCAATATAAAATTGAGGAAATTCCTTCAGAAAATAGAGCAAAAATATAAAAGAATGGTAAATAGAAGTAATATGCACTGAGAAAATCAACTCTTTGCCAAATAGATCTAGCAGTATAATCCAATCCCAAGCAAAATTACAAGATTTTTTGGTGGCATACAGGAAGCCAATCCTCAAACTCACATGGAACAGTAAAGGCTAAGAATAATTCTCCTCTTGCCCCCCCAAAAATACTAAGAATAAGGAGAGGAGAACTTAACCTACTAGAGATCAAGACTTACTGTAAATCTATGAAAATAATAAATTTATAATTTATTCATAAATAGATATAAAAGTGGAACAGAACAGAACACCCAGGAACCAAGCCTTAGATATAAAGGAACTTGGTATGTGAAACAGACAACATTGTAAATCATTCAGTAGTAACAGAATAGAGAGCTGAATAACTGGCACAGGGACATTTGGCTATGCACTTGGCAAAGAATAAAATTAGATCCTATCTCATGCTATACAGAGAAAAAATATATATTCTCTTTATAATTTTAGGTTACATAAGACATTACAAGCACTATGAATGAAGACTGATAAATTCAAGTACCTTAAAATTTCAAATTATACATCAAATACAATGTAAATTGTCTCCACAAAGAAAAAAAAAGATGTTTGCAATAGGGATATTAATAACCAAGGACTGGTAACCAAATATATAAAAAGTTCCTCTAAATTAATAAAAATATAAAACAATCCAAAAGAAAAAATATAAAATGTCAGTTCACAAAAGAAACAAATATCCAATAAACATATCATGCTCAATGTCAGGGAAATAGAAAATTAAACAAGAATGAGATATAATTTCATATACATCTTACTGCCAAAAAAATTAAATCTGAAAAATACCAAGTGTTCAAGAGACTGTAAGAGGAAATACAGTCTTTTCTCACTTTGGTATAACCATTTGGGAGAACAACTTGGCATGCATTAAATTGCATATGCATTAAATACATACCCACATAAACAAAAGTACCTGATGTTCACAGAAGCACTATCTGTAATAATTAAAACTTGGAAAGAACTTAAGTCTCAATCAATCAAGTAATGGATAAATCAAATATGGTATATGCATAGGATAAAATACCATACATAAGTTAAACTGAATGAGCCAGAGTTACTTTGTAAACTTGAATAAATATCAATAAAACAAGTGAAAAAGATAAGGTGCACAAAAATGCATATTGTATGATATTCTGTAAACAAAGAAAATGATAAAATAATATGATACACTATCAATGTACACAGACAGAAAACTGAACACCAACTTCAAAATAATGTTCATCTTTTGGGGGTAGGGTTTTGATGGGAGGGTGAAATGATTCAGAATAGTCTTCAATAATCTAACAATTTATTGTTTGTTTTTAATTCTGAAGCAAATATGACAAATACATGATCTAGAAGGTACATATTAGGTATATTAATGGAATTGATTGGTTATACTGGATATTGGTTATTTATATATGTTCAAATATTTGTTTTAATTTTATGGTTTTATCAATACAACCCAAGTCTGGGGTGCATTATAACATATAAGAAAATTAAAAAGAACCATAAAACATCTCATACAAAATTAATTTGCCTCCTTCCAAGAAAATTTTTCCCATTTTGTCAAAGAATTTATTTTCTAATCCAAACAAAAGCTACTTGGATCCTTAAGTGAAAAAGTGTGTGTGTGTTTAACAAATAAAATCATACTAAGAACACTGGAAGTTAAGAGAGTTTTTCTTCTTTCCACTAGAGGGAGGTGTTGAACTTAAAATATTTTTAAATGAGGCCTGTGTTAGAACTGACATTTAACATTACAGCAAACCACATTGTGCTGTTAGAAAATAAATTTGCTTTCTTTCTACGTCTTCCAGAAACATAGCCCAAAAGTATGATTTTTCATATGTATTCACATAAACAATATCTCTCAGACTCCAAAATACGGTTTCAGTTCTGAAGAATTATAGAAGCAGAGTTAGAAATGTATCAGAACGAAAGTACTTCTTCCTAGCTTAGGAAATATATCAATACACCCATTCACAATCTAGTACATGGTTATCTCCTGAAAGAGCCAAGACAAGCTTCTCCTCTCTAAATCCCCAAAGCCAGCATAGTTCTACAATCAAAAAGTGTTTGCTGCTCTAGCCAGTGCGGCAAGGTGGTTAGAGTGTTGGTCCATGCACCAACAGGTCACAAGTTCGATTCCTGGTCAAGGGCACGTACCTGGGTTGCAGGTTCAATCCCCAGTCCCACTGCAGCCGTGTGCAGGAGGCAACCAATCTATGTGTATCTCTCACATCGATGTTTCATTTCTCTTTTCTCTTCTCCCCCCACTCCCTCCTTCCACTTTCTCTAAAAATCAATGGAGAAAATATCCTTGGGTGAGGATTAACCAAAAAAAGTGTTTGCTGCTGTAAACTATAAACTGGGACTAACGTTGGATAATACTTAGCAATACTTCTAGGCATAAACACAGCTGAATCACTTCTACAACAGCTTAAAGATATAAACAAGAACGTTAGTGAATCATTTATAATTAGAGCAAAAAAATTTAAAGAAAATAAAATGTCCATCAATAAGGAATTCCTTAAATATATTAGGAACTTCCACATGACAGAATATCATGCAAACACAACAAAAATAATTTAAGAAAATTAAAAGATGGACATCAAATATTATTGAGGCATATAATTTCACTGTGTAAATACAATAATATATGTTTATATATCCTTAGATGAGGAGTGGGATTGAAGAGGGAAGGAGCAAAACCTTCACTTTCTGCTTTTAAATTTCCCTAAACTAGGAGCATGTTTTTACCATGAGCACAATACATAGTAACTTTATAAACTCAATATTAAGGTATTTCCTGTTTGGGGGAAAAACAGGCAGTACCAGTGCCATTTTTCTATGCCATTTGCTTACACAGGGCACCAGTGAACAGTTTCTCAGGAAATGGCAAAAAAATATCCCTTGTTGCCCTAAAGCATTTAAGGCAAACTTCTTAAACACTTCCTTTTCATGTAACTTCTTCCAAGCTATCCCTAAATCACAACTGTGCTTACGAGGTCAATCCTCACATCTAATCCTCACCAGAGGATTAACAAAAAATATAAACAAACAAATAAATAAATAAAAGCAGTTTTCTTTTGTTACTATAAAAAGGATAAGACATTGAAAGACAAAGCTCTGAACATTTCAGTTATAAAATAAGTTACCTTACAAATGGAAGTAGTAATTATAAACTATGTTCCTCTATTCTTTCCTATACATAATAATTAAAGACTAATTCTAAAGAATTTTAAATTATTTTAGTACTTAGTAATATAAAGTCTGGTATAACCACCTACTTTTCATCTGAGTATTATAGGATTGACCAAAAAAAGTGCACCAAAAATCACATCTACATAATGAAATCAGTCAGAGGAAGGCAAATGCCATATGATTTCATTTATATGTTTTTTAAACAAGATAAACAAGCAGAACAAAAACAGATTCATAGATTCAGTGGGCGGGGGCCACAGCAGAGGCAGCAGAGGTCCCCAGCCGTGGCTGCAGCGGGCAGGGGCCGGGCCAAGGCCCTTGCACAAATTTTGTGCATCGGGCCTCTAGTATTGTAATAACTATGTATGGTGTCAAATGGGTACTAGACTTATTGGGGTGATCACTTTGTAAGTAATATAAATGTCTAATCACAGCGTTTTACACCTGTAACTAATACCATAGTGTTTGTCATCACAAAATAATAGAGGAATGATAGAAATTTATTTGAAAATTTAAATTAGTTGGTTAGTGAATTCACAGTTTGAATTTCTCCTATCTCTCCTTCAAAATAACTTACATATAATCTTCTGAACAAATGCAAAGTACACTGGAGTGAGAATATGCAGACTTGTAGTCTTTTCCCACATTAATCACTGAGTCTATGATCTGAGTAAATCATAAATTTCCATCTGCTCATCTTTAAAGGGGGTTAGATGTAATCAGTGATTTCCAAACTGGACTATTTGAAGGGGAATCTCTGTGTTGCGGGGGGAGAGGTTAATAGATGATTAAGAATCTGCACTACACCACTTAAAAATAGTTCAAAATCACTACTGTGTAAGATTTGTACACATCATTTCAAATACAAAATCCATTCTATTTCTTCTATTTTTTAAATATTAACATTTTAATTTTATTTTTCAATTATAATTACAATCAATATTATTTTGTATTAGTCTCAGGTGTACTGTATAGTGGATAGACATTATTCTATTTCTTTATGCTATTAAAGACTGCTAACAGTCTCACATAATTATGTTAAATTGGAAAAATAAAATACTAAATGTAGCCCTGACCTGGTGACTCAGTAACTTGGAGCATCAACCCATACACAAAAACTTGTGGGTTCAATCCCCGTCGGGTCAGGGCACATACCTAGGTTGCAGGTTCGATCCCCAGTAGGGGCATGTACGAGAGGAAACCTATTGATGTTTCTCACATTGATTTTTTTTCTATCTCCCTTCTTCTCTCTCTAAAATCAATAAAAACATATCCTCAGCTGAGGATTAAAAAAACAAATTATGTGATTTTGAGATGTCCCTCTAGGTAACAGTTGCCCATACTGTCATGTAATTACAAATGAAACATCTTCCAGAGATCAAAGACTAGGAATTATTTTCCCTTTGAGCAAGCCAATCAATTATTGCACTAATGTAATTTTAATATCATCAGCATTAAAAAGATATACTTAAGGAATTGTGTTGTTATTTTAAAAATACCTGTACTATAAACTGTAATTCTCTTCTCTCTGCTTCCCATTGTTCTGCTTGTAATCTAAACTCCTCCAGTGCTGTCTCCCTGATATGAGAGTCCATTTCATTCTTCTCCTGCTGATGTTTCTCCAATGCTTCCTTTATATGAATAAAATCTTGCTTTACTATCAGATCAGTAAAAGTTAGCTTTCTTTCTTCATCCCCAATTTTAATGTACAAAGAACTCTCCTTACCTATCTTGTTAAAACTCATTACAATTTATGTTAATAGAACTGTTATATTGTGATCATCAGAATATAGACCTGAATAAGAAGCTATGCTTACCTATTTAATATAAGGAACATCTTATATATACACACATAGGCATATATTTAAACCAATTTTTCTGAAATTTTTAACTTCAGAGGTTTTAACAAAATGTATTATATGATAAAGAGACAAAAACACATAAATCTATGTGTAAAGTACATAATATGGAAATACCTGATTACCTATGAGCAAACTGTTTAGATTATCCCTAATAATCCTATATAATAAAGAGGTAATATGCAAATTGACCATCACACCCTTGCACAAGATGGCCACCCCCATGTGGTCAAAGATGGCTGGCAGGGGAGGGCAGTTGGGGGCGACCAGGCCTGCAGGGGAGGGCAGTTGGGGGCAATCGGGCTAGCAGGGGAGCAGTTAGGGGTCGATCAGACTGGCAGGGGAGTAGTTAGGGGGTGAGCAGGCAGGCAGGCAGGTGAGCGGTTGGCTGCCAGCAGTCCCGGATTGTGAGAGGGATGTCCCAGATTGGAGAGGGTGCAGGCTGGGCTGAGGGACAACCCACCCCCCCCCCCCCCCAGTACATGAATTTTGTGCACTGGGCCTCTAGTGTATATATAAATGTGGCAGAAAACACTGTATTTCCAAAAGGGGATTAGGAAGGAGTCAGGATAAGGAAATTCTAGAGTGTAAAGAATTTGAGAAGTCAAAAAATATTTTTTAAGAAGTTTGGACTGTCATTAATTTCTAGTTCTACAGATAAACACTGTTGGCTTTTCTTTTGGGGTTTTCCTAGTCGTACTATATTTGCTAGATCTAAGTTAGTTCAAAATCTTGCAGGTTTCTTGAGAAGCCAAATATAACCTACAAGGTTCAAAACTCGGTCCCCATTCACACAAAGAGAACGATTCTGTGGTTTCTGAGAGAGAAGGAAAGCCTCCTGTGTCCACCTAACAACAGCATAGCGCTGCGTACTAAAGATTACTCATAACTTTCACTAATGGAAAGCTATCACAAGAACCTGGAGGCTTTTTCCCCCGAGGGCTAAATAGTGACTCCTACTCAATCCCTAATTTCCCAAGGGTCTCTGTGCAGATCAATTCAAAGCCAATGGCCTAAAATCAAAGCAGAGTTCTCCTACCAAGCAGCTGATCAAGATCACATCAAGATCAAGTAACTTCCCTAGCTGGTTTGGCTCAGTGAATAGAGTGTCCGCCTGCGGACTGAAGGATCGCAGGTTCGATTCCGGTCAAGGGCATATGCCTGGGCTGTGGGCTCGATCCCCAACAAAGGGTGTGCAGGAGGCAGCCAATCAATGATTCTTTCTCATCACTGATGTTTCTATCCCTCTCTCCCTCTCCCATCCTCTCTGAAACCATTAAGAATATATTAAATTAAATTAAAAAAAAAGCTCAAGTAACTTGAGGTGCAGAATGACTGACTATAAGGAATGCTGTCACCCGTTACCTTCTTTCCCCATAGTTCCAAGACATTTTACGTGGGGAAGGTTATATAGGGCCACTCAGGGACTTGTAGCACCAGTCACCACCTAAACTTTCCCTTTTAGAATAGTAATGAAGCCCTTATAGATGCCAGGCACCATTCTAGTAACAAACAAGACACAAGCTATGACTATTGCTAAAAAGAAAACAACAGATCTACTGACAATGTCTGGGAATGCTTGTGTCAAAACTTTTCTATTTAGTAAGTGCTTTTGTAAAATTACCTCTAGTGAACATTTATTGCCAGGATTCTGAAAAGCCATCTACACCAGTGGTAAATGTAGAGCACTTTTATTATGTTCATTTGTATTTATTTTTTTAATTTAAACTGGTACTTCAAAAATATGGCAAATATAGATAATTCAAATCTACTTCTAAGTGGCGGGCAACCTCAACCTTAAACCATACTTTTACTTTGGAGAGTACAAAGGAAGAAAAAGCGGGGGAGAAAGGGAGAGAAAAAATACCTCACAATAATTTTAGTAAAAGGTCATCGAATTGTTTATACATCATATCCATATAGAATGAGCTCTGTATAGATAATAAAGCATATATCAGACACATAAATACTTTTCTATATTTATTGTATATTCAGACCAAATCTAGAACCCACATTTCTATATTTAAAATTTTCATGCTATTGAGCCAAAAGGGCTAAAAGTCCTTATATTCTTATAAAATGCCTGTATGTGCTTATTGTTTAAATTTTGATCACAGACTTCAAACTGTTTTTCACAAAAGAAAGAGTATACATATTAATGTATTCTAAAGCATATTACAAAAGAGACCTGCAAAAATGACCCTAAAGGGAAAGAAGAAAGAGAGAGGGGGAGGGAGGGAAGAAGGAAATCAGCTTTCCTAGCCTTCTGGTATTACCTTCCTTTCAAGGACAACATCAAATAATGTATAACACATCTCAATGAATATTATATATAGCGAAATTCCTTTATAAAAATATTTTACCTGCAGAATTTTCTCTAGTTTGCTTTTTTCTTTGAAAAGTAAATCATATTCTTGATTGCAATTTTGAATTATATTGTCTCTTTCTTCCAAATCACATTCAAATCTTCTGCATTCTTCTTTCCATTTCTGCTGGGAAATCTGAAATGCATTCTCAATCTCATTTGCCCTTTCTTGAAGTTCTGTATTCTGAGCTATTAAAAATATAAAAGAATAATAGGTATATTTACAACTATAAATTAAATCCCTAGGGTTCAAAAACCTAGGCCTTGGAGCTAACTTCATTTACAGCATGATCTCAGTACAAAACCGGAAACCACTGCACACCAGTAAACTCTTGAAAAGCTCACTGTCCCAGAACCAGGATTCTACCATTTTTCTATCTCTTCTTCCCCTCCACACAAAGGTGGTTTTGCCATTAAATGAGATGACATATTCCCAGAGACATGCTCAAGTTTAAGTGCTCCTCTAGCACCAACTGCCACTCTTTTTCTCCTATTCAAGAAAATAAATAAAATGTTTTTTAAAAAAACACTGTGACAGATAGGGCTACTCTTTTTTTTATGTTTTTATTGATTTCAGAGAGAGGAAGAGAAACATCAATTATAAGAATCATTGATTAACTGCCCCCTGCTGGGGATCAAGCCCAAAACCTGAGCACGTGCCCTGACTGGGAATCAAACCTGGTTCAGAGGTTGACGCTCAACCATTGAGCAACACAGGCCGGACTAGAGCTACTCTTTTTAAATGACTGGACAGATTACAAATTTTGACATTTGACTACTGGCAGCTAATTAGTTGTAACATCTTACACATGAGACTGTCACAAGACTGAGATTGGAAACCACTGCTACAACCCTTAGAACTATAGTATTTACTCCCCCAAAATTAGGCTCAATCCCCTCTCATCCTAATATTACCTTCACAATAACCAATACCGCTCCACTAGGGTTTCAGCATCTAGAAAAGAAATAATGAAAGGCTTCCAGGTCTGACTCCATCACCTTCTACCTGATTAAACCACTCTGACTCTCAGAATAAAATGCCTCCTAGTTAAGATTTTTGTAAAGATCAAATGAGAAATATGTACAAACACACTTGGTAAACAAAAAATGCCACAGTTCGTAGTATTGTTTTTCAATTACATTTGTATTTTGAATGGATCATATATTCCAAAGGTTCAAAAAGTCTCCCTCCCATCCAGTTTCTCTCACTACAAGACATTATTCCATGGTCTAGCTGTCCATATTACAGGTAAGAAGTTTGAGACCATTTTTATTTCTGTCCCTCTGCATGTGGCCTATTTTTCTTTCCTTTTCATTCCTTTTCTCTTTGAATGTTTTGGGATCTTTGTCTCTTTTTTGAAAACTTTATAGTGTGTCTATTTCTTTCCAGTGTAGTGAATATTTAATGGTCCCTTTCAATCTGGAAACTCAGACACAACCTTTAGTTCTGAGATGTGTTCTTAATTAATTTCATTGGTAATTGTTCCCTCTCTGTTTTCTCTCATCTCTTTCTTTCAATATTCCCTATTATTCAGATTGGCCCTCAAATTTTCTTTTCTCTACTATTTTTCTACATCTGTCTTTTTACACTAATTTCTGGGAGATTTTTTAAAATGTGTTTTTATTGATTTTAGGGAGAGAAGGGAGCGGGAGAGAGAGAGAAGTACCAATGTGAGAGAGAAACATCAATTGGTTGCCTCCCACACACACCTCAGCTGAAGATTGAACCCGAAATCTGGGCATGTGCCCTGAAACAGCGACCTTTCAATGCATGGACGATGCATAAGCAACTAAGTCACAATGCCAGGGCTTTCTGCAAGTTTTCTTCCATCTTCATCTTCCAATGTTTCTATTGACATTTATAATTTCTTATTTGAAATTTGTAATTTCTAAGAGCTTTCTTTTTTATGGGATCTGGTTCTTGCCTCACAGGTGGCACATAATCTCTTTCAGCTCTAAGGATATTAATGCTACTTGTTTGTTAAATCTTCTCCCTGAAGACTTTCTGATTCTTTCAAGTTAATTTTTTCTCTCCATTATAGAGGCTTTCCCTAAGTATCTGGTAATTCTTGGTTGTTTGCTCTCAATTAGGAGTAGCTACAGGGTGACACAGTGTGGAGCTTGACACCTGTGATCTTCACTGGAGGAGAATCTGGCTGAGCCATAGATCAGTATCATTAGTTTTTTTCTACTTGGCTTGGTCAGCTGACCCATAGAATAGTCTTCCAAGCTCCCACATGGAATGCAGAAATCTGGTGAAGCCAATAGAAAAAGGAAGCTGGGAGAAATAGTTCCTCAATATTCAGCATTGAATATGATATCTTCCTGTTTTCCCCAGTCTTCAGACCCTCTATTTGATCATTTCCAGAGATTAAGCCTCCCGAGTGGGAACAATCCAGAGTAGCATGCTGGTGGGAAGGGGACTTAAGAACAAACGGCTACTTCTAATTCTGCTGGAAGCCGGTCCACCCTTGCTGCTTGACACAGTCACTGCAGGGAAGAAACATCTGTACAGCATGTTTCAAGGGACCTGGCGTATATGGCATACTGTTCTTAATATGTTTGCTCCCCCTCTTAGCGCTATGTGTTTTAAACAAGACCACCTCCCCAAGAAAGGTTGTTTCCCCAGGTGTGGATTTTTTCCCTGGAGTTAGGGATTAACAGGACTAAGGAAGAGAATAAATCAGTGAAACCCTCTAGTGTTACAGAAATACCATGTACTACTTATGAAGAACTTGGACTAAGACTGTTGGCAATAAATTTGGGACTTGTTGGGCCCACATCCCCAGGGGTCTGCCCACCAGGGAAAGCACCAAAGCCTATACCCCTGGAGACCCACCGACACAGGGCAGTCCCAGGGAAGGCAAGCAGCGAGGCTGGGAGGACATAACCTTTACTGGGTAGGATAATCTCCTTCAGTCACTTCCTTGTAGCTTATCAGTAGAGCAGTAACCTTGGAATAGCCCTTATAATGGAACACAGAGATTAACCTAGACAGGATTAAACTCAACAGAACTAGATTAACAAACACCCTAACCTTTGGAATAGAATGAATAGGATTAAAATCAACTGTTATAAATACAGATGTAACAGGACAATAAAGACCAAACCTGGCTGGAGAACCTGGCTGAAGAACCTGGCTGGAGAACCTGGCTAGAGAACCTTGCTATGCTGATCAACTGAACGCTGTCTCCGTGTTATTCCTTCTTCGCCGACTCCGTCCACACCTTTGGGAACCCCTGGACCTGCTGGGGCTGGACCCCAACACAATTCCTAATCCCAAAGGTATCTGGTGTTTCCAGTTCATAAGACTTTTTTTTAATGCATTTTTATTGATTTCAGAGAGGAAGGGAGAAGGAGAGAGAGACAGAAACATCAATGATGAGAATCACTCATCGGCTGCCTCCTGCAAGTCCCCCACTGAGGATTGAGTCCACAATCCGGGCATGTGCCCTGTCCGGGAATTAAACCGTGACCTCCTGGTTCATAGGCCAACGTTCAACCACTGAACCACACCAGCTGGGCAGTTCATAAGACTTTTGACTCTCAAACAAGTTGTCTGCCAGCTTTCCCCACTCGTGGTTTAGGATTCTAACATCTCAGTCTGCTAAATCAGTTATCCCTCATCCATTTGCTTTCCAGCTTCCAAAACTTTCTTTCTTGTCATGTCTCAATCATTATGGGATTATCTTTTTTAGCATTAGTTTGTTTTTCTCTAACCTCAACATTTTATCATAAAATTCTTCAAAAATACATAAACTTGAAAGTATTACAGTGAACACCCATAAAACCACCTAGACTCTATGACTGCTAATATTTTACTATATTTGTTTTATCACACATTCATCTATACATCCATTCACTTACCATCCATCAAACCATAATACTTTTTTATGCATTGCAGAGCAAGTTGCAAATATATTGCACTCCAAAATAATTCAGCATTCATATTGTTAACCAGAATTCAATATAGTTTCACTTTTTTTAAGGTCATATTTACATATAGTGAAATGCTCAACTCTTAAGTGTACCATTCAAAGAGATTTGATAAATGCCTAGACTCATGGAACCCAGACCCCTTTCAAAATATAGAACATTTTCTTTAACCCAGAAAGTTTCCTCATACCTTTTCCCAGCCAATCCCTACTGCTAACCCATCCCAGGGGCAACCACTGTTCTGATTTCTTTTTCACCAACAATTAGTTTTCTCTGTCCCAGAACTTCATATAAATGTAGTCACGCAGGATGTCCTCTTGTGTATAAACTTCATTCAGCATAATGGTTTTAAAAGTCACTCATGTGATTGCATGTATCAGTAACTGGTTCATTTTTATTGTTGAGTAGTATTTCATTGTATGAATATAACAACTTATTTCTTCATTCTTTTGTCAATAGACATTTACAGGGTTTTTTTTGGTTTTTTCCAATTTGTGGCTGTCATAAAAGAGCTACTATGAAAACTGGTGTACAAGTCAAATGTTTCTCAGGGAGAACTATCAAAGAGTAAAACTGCTGAGTCAAAGGATAATGATATGATTATTTTAAAAGAAACTGCCAGTTTTTTCCAAAGTAGTTGTACCATTTTACTCTTCCACTAACTATAAAAATTCCAGTGCTCTATATCCTGATTAGCATTTGGTATTGACAGTTTTTTCAATTAGAGCCATTGGATGGGACATGTAGTTATAGTCACAGTGGTTTTTAATTTGCATTTGCCTAATGAAAAGTAAGGTTAAGCATTTTTCATGTGATTTGTGACCATTTCTCCAGTTCCTCTGTAACATGTCTATTGAAATTATTTTACTTTAGGCAAGTAACTTCTCTGGACTTCAATATCCTCATTATTAAAGCCATTAACTTGTATATCTAGTTCCTTGCAATCCTTTTATTCCTAAGTGGTATAGTTATTAAATGCCAGAAGTCATCAAAAACACTTCTGAGCAATGACAATAACCCAAGACAGCTGGCCAAGACTAGAGTACCTAGCTTTTGTAATATTTATAACTTAACATTTGTTTAGCCCCATGCAGTAAACAAAGCACTTTCATTTTCTTATTTCATCCTTAAAACAACCTAGGTTCAAACACCAGTAAATGAGTGGTAGAACCAGACTCAAACATAAATCTTCTGAATTCACCTTCAGTGTTCTCTTAGTTAACACCTGCTGTGTACAAAAATATTCATAGCAACATTATTTTTTTAATATTTTTATTTATTTTTAGAGAGAAAAGGGAGAGGGAGAGAGAGAACATCAATGTGAGAGGGGAACACCGATCACTGCCTCCTGCACACCCCCTATCCGGGACAGAGCCGGCAACCAGGGCATGTGCCTTGACAGAGAATTGAACCTTCCCGTCCACAGGACAACACCCAACCAACTAAGCCACACCACCAGAGCAACAACATTTTTCTTAATAACCAAAACCAGACATAACCCAAATGTCCATCAATAGTGAATGGATAATAAGTGGGAAATATCCACACAGTATAATACTAAATATCAATATGAAGTTCATAAAGCATTATGGATGAACTCACAAGTCTAACAATGTTGAAGGAAAGAAGTCAGATGCAAAAGAGTACTAGGTGAGTCCATTCACATAAAGTACCAAAAAAGGGCAAAATTAATCCTTGCTATTAAAAATCAGGATAGCAGTTATCCATGTGGAAGGACTCTGGTAATTTTATATTTCATGATCTGGGTTCTTGTGATCAGTTTACACTTAAATCTAAGCACATTTCTTTAAGATATACTTAAGTAAAAAGATTTTAAAAGATGGGCATATGTTATATTAACAGAGAACTTTTCAGAGTTAAATCAGCTGCCTTTTTCTTTTCTAGGCACCACACCTAACCCAGTGGTTCCTAAACTTCGCTAATCCATAAAATCACCTGCAGGGCTTCTTGTACCTACAGATTCTCTCAAGCTAGAGATTCTAATTCAAGACAGTATGTGGTAGAAGGCCTACAATACATTTCTTTTAATCTCTATGTGGCCCCGGCTGAGTGGCTCAGTTGGTTGGAGCATCATCCCATACACCAAAGAGGTTGCAGGTTTGATTCCCAGTCAGGGCCCATACCTAGGTTCTATCCCTGGTCAGGATGTGTACAAGAGGCAAATGATTGGTTTTTCTCTCTTTCTCTCTCTAAAATCAATAAACATATCCTTGGGTGAGGATTAAAAAAATGAAAAGTGCCCTAAAGTGGCTCAGTTAAATGTGAACCTATGAACCAGGAGGTCATGGTTTGATTTCCGATCAGGGCACATGCCCATGTTTTGGGCTCAGTGCCGGTGGGGGGCGTGCACAAGGCAGCCGATCAATGATTCTCTCTTATCATTGATGTTTCTATCTCTCTCTCCCTCTCTCTTCCTCTCTGAAATCAATAAAAATATATTTTTAAAAAATAAATTTTTAAGTGGTTAACAGAATGTTGAACCCCTTTTTCCACACATACACAACATAAAAAAATTAATGTAAAGTAGATAAATGTTCACATAACTGCCAGAAAACTTTATACACACCCACCAAAGTCAGAGGACAGTCAATGAATCTTACCTCTGACCCTACATGGAATGCATAAACACCAAGCAATGATATTCAATGAGGTCACAATTCTCAACATGGGAAGAAATGGAAATGGTCTTACCACAGAGTTTTTCTTGGATCTTATGTGCCTCAGCTAACCTTTCTTCAGCAGCCCGTCTTCCAAGACCAGCTTCCTTTCTAGCAACAGCCAAGTCATATTCCAAACTTTGTCGCAATGCTTCTCCTTTTTCAACCTCAGAGCGTAGCCTGGCAATCTGGCCCTCATAGCTTGCCAGCTAAAAGCGAATTTCTGATATCATGAACCAATATTACAATATGTTTCCAAGATTATTAGATCATTAACCCAAACACTTACATTTCTTAAAAAAAACTTGTTTCTATAATATTTATAAGATAAGAATTTATACTTTCTGAAAGACTGGAAAAGAAACACTAGCCTAACCAAATGACACTAGTAATTTTCTTATTTTAGGGAATCCACCAGAGGAAAACATTTTAATTCTTATATTAAATTCTTATAAAAATAAAGGAAAATCACAAGTTTTACTCAGATAATAGTTATATCTAAGAAGTGGAAAAAAATGCATGACACATAGTAAGCACTTAAAAATTCATTCCCTCCTCCTCTCCTAGTCTCTAAATGAAGTCAAGAAGCAAACTGCATCAAAATATAGTTTGGTAAATATTGTCTATATTATTTCTCTTGATTATGACTTTACTGATAGAGCCTAAAGTAATAAAAATGCCAACTTTGCAGGGGTCTGAATAAGCTAATATCTAATTTATCTAATATCTAAAAGCTAGATATCTAATGACTAGATTTAATTTACCTAATATCCTTCTATGAATTAATGTGACAGAACATAGGTCTGAAAATTAAAACTGGGTGATTTGCAAAGTCCTTTCCCACTATAAATTCTATTGTCAAATCAATGACTCATTAAATAATATTAAACACTTGCTATGTGCTAAGTACAGTGAAAGATATAAAAACCAGGATTTCAATACTATAGAAAGGCATATGGCATAACTTTTATAAATAGGTAAAAATGCTATGATATTACAAAGAAAAGCAAAATGATTTGTTGCTGGTGGGAAAGAAAAAATGGTAGTTCAGAAAGAATGCTAGAAAAGTATCATTTAGGAAAGCTTTGAGCTACTATTAAATAAGAGACACAAAAATCTCTGCAGGACAACATCAGAAATCACTTAAGTTGCTATTAAAATGTAGAGTGTAGCAACAGTTACATTTTTTCCACATATAAAAAATAAAATAATTTCCCATTCAAATTTTTAGAATAGCAATAACTTCATAACACTATACATATAACATAAGAATTTACAAATATTTTTCAATAGTAAAAGAAAAAATCATACAACAACCTTAATTACAAAGTCAAGATTACTCAGGAGTGGAAGAAGCTTCACATGTTGCTACCCTCTGAGTTGATAATATACTGTTTGTCTTGTAGCAATTCTAGTACCTGTGTGATCGATTGCCTTTACTAACGTCCTTTGTTGACAGACCTAAAGTAATGTCCATTTTCTTGACTGGACACCAAGTAACATAGCTCTTGGTATCAGAAATGGTCTCTAGATGGGTTTCTGATATTGGCTGGTGAGCCTATATGAGCCTAAATATAATGAAGAACTCTACCTAGAAATGGGATATTAGGGATCCATGAGATATAGTGGGATCACAATTTTTTAAATTATCATGTACAGTTATCTAGAATAAAGTTGAAGACAAGCCTGTGGGAAATGAAGTAGCAACTGCATTTGACCATTATGGCAGTATAATTTACTACAAGACCTGTGAGGTAAAAAGGCTGTATCAGAGAACTTAAAAAAACAAAATAATAATCTCAGCTCAAGGTGGTCAGAAAACCAGAGAATTTCTATTTCAAGTGTAAAAGAATCTCTTATTTCTCATAACCCCAGGACAGACGAGGCTAAGGACTAGACCAAAAAAATCTAACTATGCGAAATGCAGAATTACAAGTTGAATAAAGAGCCTCCCCAAGTTTCTAATGTTAAGATGCTAAGTATCACCCGGCCGGCGTGGCTCAGTGGTTGAGCGTCCACCTATGATCTAGGACAGTGATGGCGAACCTATGACACGCGAACTCATTTTTTTGGTTGATTTTTCTTTGTTAAATGGCATTTAAATATATAAAATAAATATCAAAAATATAAGTCTTTGTTTTACTATGGTTGCAAATATCAAAAAATTTCTATATGTGACACGGCACCAGAGTTAAGTTAGGGTTTTTCAAAATGCTGACACGCCGAGCTCAAAAGGTTCGCCATCAGGTCATGGTTCGATTCCCAGAGAGCATGCCCGGGTTGTGGGCTTGATCCCTCATGTAGGGAGGCAGCTGATCAGTGATTCTCTCTCATCATTAATGTTTCTCTCCCATCTCCCTTCCTCTCTGAATCAGTAAAAAAAAAAAAAAAAATTTTTTTAAAGATGCTAAGTATCAATTGGGCATTAGGTAAGAAGGAAGGAGATGGGTGAGGGCTTTTGGAATTAGATACACCTAAAAAATGTAAAATCCCAAATGCCCCCCTGAACACCCCTTGCCAACAAAAGCCATCTCTCTCCTCCCTGTCTGAGGTAACTAGCCTTCCCTTGCTTGAAGATTTAGTAATGACCACACCTGAAGCAGCTGTCTTGCAAGAGGATTTGCAAGACCAACCTCCACCACCTTTTGTCACTATAGACAGATTCAAAACTCTCTTTGCTGCAAGAGGAGAAATGCAAAGTCGGGTCCAGAAGAAAATAGCTTATACAGCAAAAGAACTGCAAAATCTTGATAATCTTTTACTAGCAGGAACCTGCAGAACATATATAGGATTGATTTGGATTTAACTAGCTGCTCTAACAGTTTGCTTGGACAGATGACTGTAAATTGATTTTAACCACGGCCTACAATCATTTAATGAGGTCAAAATGCCAGTACTTTCCTGATGTCATATGGAGACTTAGGAGATGGGAGTAGTTTTATTACGAGCAAACCAAAACTTCCCCTTCCCCCTATTACATCCTCTTGGAGGACCCAAAGGCATTGTTTCCTAATTAAAATGCTATAAACTGCACTGGAGGAGGCAGCACAAGCATCATTAGAAAGCTCTGGTGGCTAACCTGTATGTGCCAAAGATAATAATGGATGGTGGAGATAACGTGGGATATGCCACCATTGAGATGAACACCCCAATTTCAATTGCAATGATGGACTTCCAGAATGGCAAAGGCCAAGTGGTAGCAATTAGCCACTAGATAATGAATGCTGAAGAGCATAAGGTGTAGACTGCCAATCATTTGTGCATTTGATCTCAGATCCATTACAACCCCTTCTTTTGCTCTATTCTATTTCATCATAGGAACTGTAATTCTCATGCTCCCAGGCCAAATGGCTGTCAGTAGCTGCATCTCTTTTGAGGTTCCAGCTCCCCATACTTTCTCTCCACATTCCAACACTGACTGAACAACCCCTACCATGGCTCTACCTCCCATAAGACAGCCCCAACTTCTGGACTCTGGTAACATTATCTGCTCCCACTGGCCCTCTGTCCTAGAGGTGTTGGTGGCTTCCTGCCGTTAGTAATCTCTGGGTGGCTCCTCATTCCCTGTTTGGATTCTTAGGTCTTCCATCACCAGTACAATCAATTTCCTCTATTAATGCCCTTCGTTTTAGCTGATTGGATCTTATTTGATTTCCAGAACTACCCACATAGCTGATAAACATGTCCTCGGCCCTTGAGGTTGTTTTTTCACTTAAGGTTCAACACATGCACTAAAACATACAACAGCAACAAAATATGTCCCTCCTTTTAAAAAATATATCTGCATTCTTTTAAGTCCGTATGCTCAACCACTATTCTAGAACCTTCTCTCTGGTTCTTTTATGCCTTCTACAATATGTCTCAGCCTCTAAAAGAAAGATTTTTCACAATTTTTGTCCCATGACCATTTTTGGCAATCTGGCAAAGCCTTCTCAAGGATAAGTAATTAAATGCATAAAAAAACATGTGGGGGTAATAAAAATCAAAATACTAGTATAAAAACAAGACATAAAAACATATTTGTGATACTGTAATCTATATACATCTTTAGTAACATTAAATAACAAGCTCTACTCTTAGGTCTAATAACCACTGTAATTTCAAAGTAGTGACAAGTATAAACAATATTTCAATATATTTGCAATAACTGAATTGTGGTATCTATGATTTCTCTTTATGATAAATTCAAAACTACTACTAATACTATTATGGCTTGTTAAAAGGAGGACTGGCTGCATCAAATCCTTCATAACTGAGGAAATGTTTAATATGAGTTAGAGATTAATAAAAATTAAAATGTTATTTTTCCCCATCCAAGTACACGGATTCCTTGATTTCTCTGTTTCCGAGGACCTTAGCTTAAGAACCTAAGCTCTTAGGACTGGCTGAATCAGTCAAACAATATCTTCAGTTCCTAACGTCTTAAAAAGCCTACTGCTTGGTCTTAGGTTTCCAGTATCTCTTAGCTAAAGAAAGTGATATTGCTCTTCTTTATCCTCTCCCATCTGTCCCAATTTTTAAGATCTACTCTCTGAGCAACTTTCAAATTTGCAATATAGTATTAACTGTAAATTACATCCCCATGACTTATTTATATCTAGAAGTTTGTATCTTTTGATACCCTTCACCATTTCACCCAACCTCCACATCCGCCTATATTTCTGTGACCTTCGATTGTTTGGATGATTTGTTTTTTTAGATTCCACACATATCTGTCTATTACTAACTGACATATTTCACTTAGCATAATGTCTTCAAGGTCCATCCACGTTATTGCAATGGCAAGATTTCATTCTTTTTAAATAACTGAATAATATTCCATTGTATGTATATACCATATTTTCTTTATCCATTCATCCACCAATGAACATTTAGATTTTAAAGATATTTTGTGCTAATCTAACAAAATAATAGAAACAGAATCATAGATATATAGAACAGACAGCTGTCAGAGGAGAGGAGCATTAGGAAATTGGGTGAAAAAAATGAAGGGATTAAGTAAACAAATAAATAAATAGCACATAGCACAGACAACAGTGTGGTGTTTGTCAGAGGGAAAGGGGTTGCGGGGAGGTGGAAGAGAGTAAAGGGGGGATGGTGACAGAGAGAGACTTGACTTTGGGTGGTGAGCACATGATGCAGTATGCAGATGATGTGTTATTGAGTTGTATGCTTGAAACATGTATGATTTTCTTAACCAATGTCACCCCAGTAAATTAAATTTAAAAAAATAATTAAATTAAAATAAAGACATTTTGTGCCAATCATCTACCATAATGTGTATTAGCACTAGGAGTATCTGATAAGGCAAATACAGGGTGTCTGCAAAAAAATGTATACACACTTAACAGCTGATAGCTCAACTTTGAAAATGAAATGTACTGTTATAAACACTGCCTTTATAATCATTCAAAGTGTGTGTATACATTTTTTGGGACACCCTATATATATAGTCCCTATTTTGGATGGCAAGATAGTTTTATTCATCTCTTCCTTGCTTTATGAAAGGCATATTTGGAGAATATATAGCAAAAAAATTACTATATACTAGTAATATGAGTAAAATCACCTAAACAAATAATTGAAACAATAAGTATAAATAGTAATATGAAACTGGCATTGAACCAATTCTAATCGCCTATTTTGAGAAAATTCTTTCTTCCCTGAAATAATTTCCCATCTCTTTAATGTGAACACGCTTCAAAACATTTTGATTAAATAAAGACAATAAATAGTGTGTTCTGCTAAGAGAAATCTGATGATAACTGCAAAAATACATAAAAGAATCTATTTAATATAAATAAATGATATGATTATCATGACACTAATGTACATTTGATTTTAAAATATAAGTTTTAGATATTATAAACAATTGGCATAAATTTAACAAATGCCACTTTATATTCACTATGTAATAAGTAAATAAAAGCAATTACTTCAATTACCTCATTTTAAAATTACTTCATTTGCCACTAAAAATACAAATAAAACAATCATATATGCATTTCTTGTTATTTCAATCAGAAACCTCTCACTGTTCCTTAGAGACCCAGAAAAAAATCATTTTTCAAACATTTATTCAACACACAGCTGCTGAGGGCCTAAGCCACGTGAGAGACTGAGAGACTGAGAGACAGAATACAAAGCCTGGTCACTGCTTTCAGCTCTCAGGAAGCTTACAGACTAAGGAAGAGCAGGTAAGCATGAAATAAATGTTTTAACTCTAAAATATCTGTAACAGCAGCATTGGAAAAGCAAAGAAAGGAGTGATCAGTGTCACCTAGGGAGGCTTTAAAAGGTTTCCTGACAGAACAGCATTTAGTAAAAGAATTTAGTAACAGAATTTAGTAAAAAGGGAAGAAAAACACCTGTTTATACTTAAGTGTCAATAAATTATAGCTACTATTACAGTGCACAGGCACTTTATAAATCTGCTTAATTACTACAACAACCTTTTGGGACCAGCATTTCAGAATAAGAAACCAGTGATGTACAACTCACCCAAGGTAGAGCCAAGAGTGAGTCCAAACCTGTGAAAGTCAATATTCTTTCCACTACATAGGCTGCCTAAGGTGAGCTTTAAGAATGAATAAGATCTAAAAAGAGAAAAAGTAGCCCTAACCGGTTTGGCTCAGTGGATAGAGCGTTGGCCTGCGGACTCAAGGGTCCCAGGTTCGATTCTGGTCAAGGGCATGTACCTTGGCTGTGGGCACATCCCCAGTAGGGGGCATGCAGGAGGCAGCTGATCGATGTTTCTCTCTCATCGATGTTTCTGTCTATCCCTCTCCCTTCCTCTCTGTAAAAAATAAATAAAAAATTTTTTTTAAAGATGCTAAGTATCAATTGGGCATTAGGTAAGAAGGAAGGAGATGGGTGAGGGCTTTCGGAATTAGATACACCTAAAAAATGTAAAATCCCAAACGCCCCCCTGAACATCCCTTGCCAACAAAAGCCGCCTCTCTCCTCCCTGTCTGAGGTAACTAGCCTTCCCTTGCTTGAAGATTTAGTAATGACCACACCTGAAGCAGCTGTCTTACAAGAGGACTTGCAAGACCAACCTCCACTACCTTTTGTCACTATAGACAGATTCAAACTCTCTTTGCTGCAAGGGGAGAAATGCAAAGTCAGGTCCAGAAGAAAATAGCTTATACAGCAAAAGAACTGCAAAATCTTGATAATCTTTTACTAGCAGGAACCTACAGAACATA